ACGGTCACTAGGGCCAACTGTGCACTCAGTGCTAGGTGTAACAGGAAAGCAACGCTGTTAGTAAACTCTCCTATGTTAACAGGAAATTGAGGTTTTTTTTGGAAGCTCGTGCTAGAACACCAACATGTGTTGTGGTGCATATGTGAGTTTAAAAGGGTCTGGTGAATGGCAGGCTAATAGCCTTAGCTATGTGGGATTAAAGAGGTCTTCAAATTGAAATTGTGAGAAATAACCACATTTCGTACTGCAGAGGAGCATTTCCATCCTAGACATGTCACTAAACATCAGTGCCTGTTTGTGTGTCTTTTCAGATCAAATGAGACAGTCATCTCTGAACATAAATAATCCAGAGACTCCTTAGAAGCTAACACGGGAAGCCAAGATCAACTTTATCTATTTATCCACCAATGACATTACATATAAGCAGATATTACAGCTCAACAGAAGAACGGTATTGTGTGAAAGTGTGGACGCTAATATAGTTATTGTTATAGCTATAGTTATCATTCTTGGTCTGAAGAGGCCTTTAGTCAGTTCAATTGACTTTTGAGGAAAATACTTTAAAAGAAACTCATCCAAAATTGACAATCCCAGTTAGAAGACAGCATATTATAATGTACTATTATGGATAGCAGCAACCATAATAAAAAATAAAAAAATCCAATGCCACCCTGAATTGATTATGTGGTATTTGCTTAAGTAACTACTGAGAAATGAATATCTTGTAATTATAATCTGCTATTCTTATTGCTATTATAATTACATTTAACAGCAAGTAATATGTATAACAGGCACTGCTTCTGTTTAAAAACATAATTTCTTGTAGAATAAACTTATTATTGTGCTACAGCTTTAATATTGTTAGAATATTGCTACTTAAAACACTAGATGACCTATTGTGAATGACTATGAACACTTCTCAAATTTGACTCAATTTCAAAATGACAATGTTTGACAATCACAGAAAAATAGAAAGCTAAAAGGACAGCTGCTCGTTTTATCTGACAGCCTGTTTGCCATTTGGAAATATTAGGCAACTGATCCATTCATGTTGGGTGACACTGACAAATTAGAAAGTGACAGTTCTGCCTGACAGCTGATGGTTCACAGTCTCTCACTTCCCCTCAACTAACCTGTCTATTGGTCATTTTGAAGTGACAGAAAATGACTGAAATTCTGCTACACAAATGAGTTCGCTGTCTGAACAAATTAGGACCTGTGAGATGTTCATTGTATTTAAAGATTATGTTTGATTTCTTCCTTTTATCTGGTCAACACTGGTCAGTGTATCTGACACATCTGTCTAACATGGAAGTAATTCTAATAAATTTTAACCTAATTTTAACTAAATTGAGAATGTGTTTGTTTTAGAGTTATGAAAGGTGCTGTCACCTTTCAAAATCAGGCTGACTTTGTCATGTCATGTTCAGATTTTCTAGTATGATGCCTCTGAAGGCCAGGCCTAAACTTCAAAAGCTTCAAATCAAGGGAAACCAGAGCACTGTCAAATGGAGTTACAACAGAATACACTTATCATATAACCATGATATAAACTGAAGCATGCCACTGGAGTTGACAAAATTAGCTCTGTTGCAGTGCATGTGTGGTGCTGTGGCAAGCCATTTAACATTTATTAATTAAAACTAACTAGTATTTATTATGTTTAGTGGTTCAACGGATCACAAATCTCACGGTTCAGATCACATTACGATTTTTGACCTACGGATCGGATAATTTTTCGGATCAGCAAGAAAATAAAAATATTTCAATTTAACTTGCTTACCATTTATTACTTAAAGCGAAGTACTTCTTTGATACCACAGCAAATACTACTAGATTAACTAAGAAAGTTTAAACATGATTAAAGAGACAAGAGAACAGCCAGTAAAAATAAGAACAAATACAAAAATTACAAGCATAGATAAATACAACAGAATATGTGACAAATAAAATAAGGTTGGTAGTATTCAAACACAGAAATGTAATAATTAGGGAAAATAACACTGCATAGTGTTCACTGTATAAATTAAATATAGATTTTTATCACAGCTGTTCTGTTGTTTGATGATCATTAACGACAGCAGCAGTATTTATATGCCACTGTCCCTTTAAGACCTGATGCACAGATCCGATATAATGATACACATCACATCCGATTTCTTTCTCAGCTGTTTTCATTCACTTGAGACATAACTGACTGCGTTTACCTGAATGATTGTCGAGATGGGTATTTTGTCATAATTTTATGTGTATGTGTCTGTTCAGAGGATTCAGAAGAGGATTCAGTTCGGTGTTTGCGTGCCGTCTGAAATGCGTGTGCGCGCTTCATGTGTGTGCGGCTGTGCGCGTAGAGAAGAGCGCGCGAGTAACGAATCGAGTTCCCTTTCGCCTTTT